TCGGTAGGAATTATCACACCAACATCCACAACTTCCCAAAGTCTTACGACAATGAGATGCATCTTCATCTTGTAGGACCAATCGATGTATCTCGTTCCATCAAAGTGAGGTGGCTTGCCAATGTTGACGGAAGGGGTATGTAGAGGTGAACCTTTGATGAGTTGTCCATACTCGAAGTTCATGCTCGAATATATTCACTTTCCATGAGCATGCTCACCGGCTCCAATATCACTAGTGGCATCTTTGTTTGCTTCATTTTTGCTACTTGTTGCATCATTCTTGCCACTTATTGCATCATCAACCTTCTTGCTCAATTCTTCCTTCATCTTGCTCATCTTATCTTGCATCTTTTTCATTTTATCTTGAAAGAACTTGACTTGAGCAGCCATCAACTCTTCAGCTATCTTCTTGGCCATCTCGGTGGCGTCGGCTTGCATCTTGTCGGTCTCCGACATTGTTTCTTCTCATGCGGTGAAGCGCTAAAAGAAGACCTTGCTTTGATACCAATTGAAAAGATCTAAACAATGCCTAGAGGGAGTGAATAGGCGTATCTAAAAATTTCTGCGTAAACTCAGTCAAATATTAGTGACAGTCGAAAGTTCTGACTGTTTGGGCCAGAACTTCTGGCAGCCGAAAGTTCCAACGCAAACAGACGGGAGTTCCGGCACCTACGTGAAATTTACTACAAGTGCTAAAATGAACTTTGAGTGAAAGATATCTTACAACCCCACTCCCTAGTGGTAAGGTAAAGTGTTGGCGTTACTCCTATGATGCTGGAAGGTCACCACTCCATAGATTGAGTCCAAACCCTAATAGGAGAGTTGGAGAGGAAGACAAACTAACAAAAACAAATATGATAGAACAAATCACAACAACAACAAGCACGCGGGACACAAGGATTTATCCCGAGGTTCAGCAACCCCACAAAGGAACTCCTACGTCCTCGTTGTTGAGGTGACCACCAAGGTCGGAGTCTCTTCCACCTCCTTGCTTCTCTCAAAGCAACCACAAAGGTTACTTGAGCTTTTCACTAAGAAATCAAGGGTAATACAAACTTCTTAAGGCTCTTCCACAAGATGGAATCTCTTGGGCGATGCCTAGCCGGCTAGGGTTCTAAGAACCCAAGAGTAATAGACGCAAATCCAATAGGCTTGACGAAGAAATCAAGTTCTCAAGCTTACCAGAGTGATTCTCTCACTCAATCCACTCTCCTTTCACTCAAAACCCTAGGGGGAATCAAAGATTGGAGCAAAGGGGAGAGGAGAGGGGTGCCTTGAATGCTTGAGAGTTGTTTTGGCTGAAGGTTGGTGAGCAATGAATGAGTGATTCATGGTTAGAAGAAAGGAGATAGCTATTTATACTCATAGTGAAATCCTATTGTTTAGATCTGGGTCCCAAGTTCCGACGCAGATCGCCGGAACTTTCGGCCCTTCTGTAAAACACTGTTCAAGGCGCAGTCAAAGGTGGTCAACATAGCTGGAGCCAAAACTTCCGGTGGAACTCTGGAACTTCTGGCAGCCGGGACTTCCGACTCACGTCAGAACTCCCGACCCAGAGCAGAGCCAGGGGGCTAAGTCCCAAAGCGTCGGGACTTCCGGCGGGAACCGGAACTTCCGGCACCCGGAACTCCCGACTCCCATTGGGACTTCTGATGGGCGAGCGAGCGTAGGCGGGCCGACGGCTAAGTCCTCAAGTGCCAGAACTTTCGGCACCAAATGTCGGATCTTCCAATGGTCGGAACTCTGTCCAAGAACTATATCTAAGTGTTCGTGGGGTGATTTTGTGTCTCTCTTTTGATTTTATTTTTATGGTTGAGCACTCTATCTTCCTCAGACCACCTAAACTTGCATTCCTCTTTATAGTATGGCATACCTAAACCCAAAACAAAATTAAAAATGCTTGAAGCATGCTTTGGGTTTGTTCGCCTTTTGCACTTGAAGAATTGAGGGATACCATTTCATCTTAAATCAACTCTTTGAAACTTTCAAGAGACTAAAGCTGTAATATATCTCATTAAGATCTCATTAGTCCCTAATTTGGATGTCATCAATACACCAAAACCCACATAGGGGGCAAATGCACTTTCACCGTCGTTTGGTGCATCATCGGGGACTACAAGAACAAAACAATGTCTCATTGGCAACAATTGTAAGAAGATGCACAAGTCAAAACATATTTCGAAATCAATTACTCACATAAGCGACGCAAATGCCTTTGGAACAAGACCATCTCCCTCTTATCCTCGTCCTCCTTAAAGTCGTAGGCCTCCTTGTTTTGTCGCTAGAAGCTCATCAACTCGATCTCGTTATTGTAAAAAACCAGTTGTCAACCAGTCACTCGAGAAAAGTCCTCTAAAATCCTGTTACGGGTCTTCCATGATGGCATCTTTACCCCATACCTCATCCTCACCTCCATCTGCTTCTCCTCCCGCATCCAACGCCTGCTCTCTTTTTTGAGTGGCGAATGTATCTTCAGCCTCTCCACTAACTCTCCACGACTGGTGAAGTCCTCCCAATTGCATGTCCTCCCCACCTAAGCAAACACAAAGCAATGAGCAAACAAACCGATGGCCTATGTTCATGTAGTAACTTCACCGATTCAGTCAACTCACCCATAACTCACACGGTCCTCCATAAGCATTGCCACAGTAGTATCTATATCCTAATTCGGAACAACTCCTTCGTGAGCCTTCATGACACACTTGCACTTACAGTCCGGCATCTTTGTGCATGGCCATGGCTTAATGCCTGCTTGAAACTCTACAAATTCATACTCTGAAGGCCAGTGCGATTTGGGTCCATAGTTGTACTCCTCAAAGTCACAAGATGGGAGCCCTCTCTGCAAAAAACAAATGTTCCAAGTGTAACATTGTATGTGCAAAACACATACAAGCTTAGAGATAGATTGTTTTTATGATAACTTACATAATCTGGCAGTCCACAATGATAGAAGGCAGTGAATGCTCCACGTAGGCTAGGAGTAGTTAATTGCGCCGACACTCCACAATAGCATCTAGGAGGATTGGCTAGACGGCGCAAAGCAGCGTCAACCATCTCCGCCTCTGTCATTTTCGGATTTCGATGGTGGCGGAACCCAATGAACATATTCTGCATATGGAACACTCTTCCTGGGGTCATAAGGAAACAACATAATCAACGGCTCGAACATTTCATCGTCATCGATCCACTGATAGAAGCTGCATCCCTCTAGGTAGGCATCAAGGGTCGAGGGATGTTGCTTAAGTTGACAACAGTAGAAAGCACGCCCAGCTGATGCGGGATGCCTTGACTGCTTCACAAATGCCGATAACCCACGTAACACAACGGTGTTGGCTCTGCTGGTAGGAAAGGACCGATAGCACCATGATCCTTTGGATGGTGCACGAATTATTTGTCATTTGGAACCACCCTTGAACCTATTACAAAGTAGTTCAACAAAGCAAAGATATGAACCAATACTATTATACAGTTCAACAATAATTTTCATCTCAATCATCTCTATAATCATGTAAGCCCATGCAGTCAAACCCTAAAACAAACTTATTGAATGTAAATGATGTCTATACATATATAGTCCAGCTCATCTATACATCTAATCAACACAAAAATACTTGAAATCACACACTTCCAAGAAGGTTTACTAACAACACTTCAACCCATACTGCTGTCGAAACCAGTGCAGTCAAACCCTGACAGTGCCAACGAAAACCAATCAGAAAAATCATACAAGTTCAACAAGTACATCATGAACCATAATATATTAAACATGATTAGCCGAAGGAACTTTCATTAAACCAAACGAAAGCCAGTATTGCACACAGCAGTGTAAACCAGAGCGGTATAAAAACATCAGCTAAACAAAAAAATAATAACAACAAAGGTGAGGGAGTCAAACCTCATGCACAGGACCGATCAGATCTGAAATGCAAATGCAAACTTCATCTGAGACAAATAGATGATGGGAGGAAGAGAAAGAGAGAACACTACTGCACCATGTCACCTCGAGCTCGCCCAGCACGAAGGGAGATAGAAGAGAGGGAGGAAAAACGAGTTGAGCCGCGGCCTTTATATGGGCGTGGCGTGCCAGCCTGCCTGGCGCGGCAGTTCTGTCGCGCCTGAGTCGCTAGCGCGATAGGGCGGGGCCCATGGTACGCCACGCCAGTATCGGTCAAACATAATTGCCACGATGGCTCGGCTTGTCGCGCCATCGCATGTGACGTGACAGCGTGGTACAGTCACGCAAGGAACGCTGACGCGACCAAAAGAGTCAGATTTGTAAATACTTTTTTAAATTAGTATTAAAATATTGTTTAAAAAAGTTTAAAAATTAAAAAAAAATCCTCCCCGTCCGCCCCATGTGACGCGACGCCGACGGGATGCGGACGGCCACGCTTTGCCCGGGTGCAGCGCTAATTCGGCAGAAACTGCATCCTGCCATGCCAGAGAGGAAAGCGCTCACTCTGGCCATTGCCGACCTCGCATGCTTCGAGGCAAGGAAAATCACCCCCCTGCTCTATGGCCATTGCCAGACCTTTGACCGCCCGCCCGGCCATGTTCAGCTTCAGCCTAACAATGACGTGGACACGGCCCGACGAAACCGACCGACCGACCGACCTCCAATCAGAGCACGTTAGGTCATTAAGCCTCTGCTTGCCTAACTAGCAAGAAGACAAATCCCACCGAAAATATCTGATATATAATCTAAAGAAAAAATAAAACAAACAAAATACGAGCGAAATACGCAGAAGCAAATACCGAACCAGAATAAACAATAGCGTAGTAGTATTACTTAACGCTTGCCACGATAACATTGTTCACCAACCGACCGACCAACCATCACGAGGTCCAAAAATTAACTAACCACCACAAAGTTCCAACCAACCACTGATAAAAAAAAGCACTAATAGCGCGGACACACCGCGACGACGACGATAACGATAACTCGCGGCAGCCGAGGGGCTGCAGCAGCACACAGGCGCGAAGACGACTGACACGAGCCGCTTAGTCGACCTCCTCGATCTTGGGGCCGGGGCCACCGCTGCCCGCGGGGGCGTCCTCGTCCATGCCGCCGGCGCCGCCCATGTCGGCCCCCGCGCCCTGGTACATCTTGGCGATGATGGGGTTGCACAGCGACTCCAGCTCCTTCATCTTGTCCTCGAACTCGTCCGCCTCGGCCAGCTGGTTGGCGTCCAGCCAGCTGATGGCCGCGTCGATCGCGTCCTCGATCTTCTTCTTGTCGTCGCCCGCCAGCTTGGACGCGATCTTCTCGTCCTTGATCGTGTTGCGCATGTTGTACGCGTAGTTCTCCAGAGAGTTCTTGGACTCCACCTTCTTCTTGTGCTCCTCGTCCTCCGACTTGTACTTCTCCGCGTCCTGCACCATCTTCTCGATCTCCTCCTTGGACAGACGGCCCTTGTCGTTGGTGATGGTGATCTTGTTCTTCTGCCCCGTCGTCTTGTCCTCGGCGGACACGTTCAGGATGCCGTTGGCGTCGATGTCGAAGCACACCGTGATCTGGGGCACGCCGCGGGGGGCAGGGGGGATGCCGGACAGCTCGAACTTGCCCAGCAGGTTGTTGTCGCGGGTCCGGGTCCTCTCACCCTCGTACACCTGGATCAGGACACCAGGCTGGTTGTCCGAGTAGGTGGAGAACACCTGCCCTTCTTGGTGGGGATGGTGGTGTTCCTCGGGATGAGCACGGTCATCACTCCTCCAGCAGTCTCCAGACCAAGGGAGAGAGGGGTGACGTCCAGCAGAAGCAGGTCCTGCACCTTCTCGTTGCCCTCACCGCTCAGGATGGCGGCCTGGACAGCGGCACCGTAGGCGACGGCCTCGTCGGGGTTAATGTTCTTGCACAGCTCCTTGCCGTTGAAGAAGTCCTGCAGCAGCTGCTGCACCCTGGGGATACGGGTGGAGCCACCAACAAGGACAACATCGTGCACGCTGCTCTTGTCCATCTTGGCATCCCTCAGGCACTTCTCAACGGGCTCCATGCACTTCCTGAACAGGTCCATGTTGAGCTCCTCAAACCTGGCACGGGTGATGGTGGAGTAGAAGTCGATGCCCTCGTACAGCGAGTCGATCTCAATGGTGGTCTGAGCAGTGGAAGACAGAGTCCTCTTCGCCCTCTCACAAGCAGTCCTCAGCCTCCTGAGAGCCCTCGGGTTGCCAGTGATATCCTTCTTGTTCTTCCTCTTGAACTCCTGGACGAAGTGGTTGACCATCCTGTTGTCAAAGTCCTCACCACCCAGATGGGTGTCACCAGCTGTGGCCTTGACCTCAAAGATACCTTCCTCAATGGTGAGGAGGGAGACATCGAAGGTACCACCTCCAAGGTCAAAGATGAGGACGTTCTTCTCGCCAACACTGGTAGCCTTCTTGTCAAGACCATAGGCAATAGCAGCAGCAGTTGGCTCGTTGATGATACGCAACACATTGAGGCCAGCAATCACCCCAGCATCCTTTGTGGCCTGCCTCTGTGAGTCGTTGAAGTAGGCAGGGACTGTCACAACAGCATTCTTGATCGTGCTGCCAAGGTAAGCTTCAGCGATCTCGCGCATCTTGATGAGAACCATAGAGGAGATCTCTTCAGCTGCAAACTGCTTCTCCTCACCCTTGTGCTGGACAACAATCATTGGCTTCTCACCAGGCCCAGAAATGACCTTGAAGGGCCACAACTTGATATCGCTCTGGACAGAGGCATCAGAGAACCTCCTGCCGATGAGACGCTTGGCATCTGCATACAAATGCAATCATGTCAGATATGCATTCCAATACCATACAATTTGAAATGTAACAGAACTCATCCATCAGTTAAATAAAACTTTGATCAATCAAGTGAAATATAATAATCCAGAGACTACCTATAACTAATAAAAAATTCACATCAGTTTTCAGTCAAGATGCCACTAGCAGAAAGGCCAATCAAGTGAACTACAATAATAATAGTAAGACTGTATTCAGAAAACAAATTACACTAGCTGGCTAGCTAGCTAAGAAAAAACAAAAGACTATATTCAGAAAACAAATTACACCTAGCTGGCTAACTAGCTTAGAAAAAACAATCATCAGTTTTTTCAGTCATGATCATTAGAACAATCAGAACATGTAAACGGGCATATAGTAACTGGAAACTCATAAATGAGCAACCAGTGTCGCAAGATCCATTCCCCCTTGTATTCTGCCATGTTTCGAGACACACAATCACAAAGAATGACTGCAAGTCAGATACCAAATGGCATTGACTACAACAAATTACACTAGAAAACAAACTCTGAATGCAACAAGAACTAAATTTGCGGTGCAATCTCAGCCGAAAGATGGTGATTTTTGTTGCAATAATCACAGTGATTCAGGAAATGGGAATTTGCATCACAGATTGCACATAAAAATACAGCAACCAACAAATAACTATTTAGACTTTAGAGAACTACTGCTGACTTACAAGATACTATAAAACTGGCAAAAGTTCACAGTAAAGATGAAATGTTAAAGAGAGATCAGATGGTAGTGCATGATGTGATCATCACAATGAATGCAGATATCTCCTATGTTATGATATCATCACTTCTCCCATTAAAATTCATCTCATACAACTCTAATAAACCTCAACCACAGACATGATCAAAATATCAGAGCAACAAATAGCAGTACAACATTTTTAAAAGATTGTAATGATGCTTGCTTGATGTGCAGTTGCCAACTACCAACCATAAAAGCTAGAGTACAATATTAAACTAGGGGGGCAATATTTTCTAGTAAAAGCAATAGATTAAAGCAATGAGAGATCAGATGGTGATGCATGATGTTGTCATCATAAAGAATGCAGATATCTCGTGTGGATATAATCTCATCACTTCTCCCATTACTTAAACCAAAAGGAAACTAAACAACAGATCCAAATGCCATCTTCTAGTCAAGTTTTCCATCTTGACATGACTGGAGAAAAAAAAAATAGCACAAAATTAAAAAAAACTGAACTCTTGATCTGCAGTTTCAGATTGAAAACCACAAAAGCTATTGTAACATAGCTTTCCATCACTGGTATCAGTGGAATAAAGCGCTTGGGGTAATTGCTTCATCATCAATCTGCCAGCTCAAGAGTTGACAAATAGTACTCCAGAACCATCCAATCAGAAATTCAGTACTGAGTAGGTGCCAAAAATTAATAGATCTAACGCTAACAACAGACCAAAAACACATTGCATGGATCTACGAAAAAAAACATGTATAAAATTCCATGTCAGGTAATGTAACACTATGCAGTCGGGCTGTCAGGCTACACAGTCTTACAAACTAGCTGGTCTCGGTCCCAAGACCAGATCGGACAAACAGAGACAGATCCGAGTCCAGCAAGAGTAAAAATAACTATGCAACTACTACTACTACTAACAGTCACAATCGCTTTCAGATCCGACCGATCTAAACAACAACGAGCTACAGTGGATCAGATCTGAGCAACTTTTTACGACAGGAAGTTATACACAAATCAAATCACGCACTAAAGTAGATGCAGCTAAACTGCAGTGGTCAGACAAAACCACTAACCACGGTAAACAAAACGGATCTGAGCTGGAACAGGAGTAAGTAAAGAGCCGAGAACGAGGGTGTGCTCACCAAAGACGGTGTTGATGGGGTTCATGGCGACCTGGTTCTTGGCCGCATCTCCGATGAGGCGCTCGGAGTCGGTGAAGGCGACGTACGAGGGCGTGGTGCGGTTACCCTGGTCGTTGGCGATGATCTCGACACGGTCGTGCTGCCACACGCCGACGCACGAGTAGGTCGTGCCGAGGTCGATGCCGATCGCCGGCCCGTCGCCCTTGCCGGCCATCTCTTCTCGCTCTCAGCGGTCGCGACGGTCTCGCAGAGAACGGGAGGGGACTGGCGGCGACTGTGGGGAGGAGCAGGGGACTAGGGTTTCGAGAGGGAGAGGGACGGAAGCGGGGAGGCGACATTTTATAGGGGCCAAAGGGCGCGTCAGCGCGTGGGCTGTGGTGTTCTAGAATGTTCCTGGGCGCGTCGTGGGGAGACCCGAGCCGTTGAGATGCGATCGTGCGGCCGAGGGCGCGTGGCGGAGTCCTTTCCGCGGGCGCCTTTCGGCTTAGCGCTGGTTCAAACGGCTCTCCTTTCTGGGTTGCTTTCACATGAGTAAAAGGAATCTTTGACGATGGGATGGGTTGTGATCAGATCTCGGCCCAAGTCATATACCATAAGTGCTGGCCGGCTTGGAGGCCCGCTTAGAACAAGCCCACTGAGATCGACCTTCCTAATAAAGGCTCGAACAAACACCATACCATTACCAGTTTTTGTGCGTCGTTTAGCATAGCTCTAGCTCCGAGGTTAATTGAGTCATGGAGCTGAAAATCTGCCCAACAAAGCTCTAGGAAAAGTTGCAATTGATACCAGCAAAAAAGTTTGACAATTTTTTTTAAAAAAAATCGACAAGATAAAAAAGTTTGACAATCTTTCATAAAAGTTTGATGATATCTTTAATTTAAAATAAATGTTCAAATTTAGTGAAGATATTGTGTCCAATCAACTGTTTTTTTTCCAAATCCCAATAGTTGTTTCAAAATATGTAAAGCTCCAACCAAGTAGCCAAAACGATAGGGATTGAGCTTGAGCCTACACGGTGTTCCAAACACATTGAAGAAAAAGGTGTTCACAGTTGACTCGGACCATGAGCTTACATATTGATCTAGAAGTTGTAGAAAGTATATTGTTCCAACCACGAAATTGAGCTTAAGTTTACATGAAGGTGTATAAGGGGTACGGGTTACTGCAATGTGGCTCAGCACACCGCCGCCTGGACAGCCGCTGATAAATCAAGAACTGACTCCGCCAACCTGCCAATGACCTAAGGGATACGTCACATATACACAAGCGGCTCTACTTCCTTGACGAGTTTCTGTTGCTCATTGCGGTTGACGAGTTTCTGTTGCTCATTGCGGCTTCCATGTGGCAATATGTTCACGAGATCCTTCGTCGCGTCGAAATTATTGCATTGCCCTCCTAGGACGTGGCTGGAAATGTACTTTTCTAGGTTCACCATGATCGCTTCTGCCCTCTTTGCCATTTGCTGTTGCTCGCCGTCCCTTGATGCAAGACATCGCTCTCTTTCTCACCGTGCTACTTGACCTGAGGCCTCCTCCCGTGCGTAGCTATGACTCGTAGATGGATTCCATAGACAAACTCATGCGTCGCTGTCTCCGCTGCTCGAGGAATGGGAAATGTCTGCTTCTAATGATCCTATGCTCTTGGAGGCTTGCCTTAGTCACGAGTACTTTTAGGGCCAAGTTCAGCCAAACAGAGTCAGCTCCATTAAGATAAGTGTGCCACTAACCCCTTGTGAGTCCCTTCCAAATATTCACATTCCGAAGCTCGGTCTAAAAGGGAGGGTGAAAAAAAAGGTAAGACAATCTTGACGTTCATGAAGTGTTGGGGTCCCACCAAGCAATGGATGCCCATGTTACACCTATAGATAGAAAGGCATATTCCTTTCACATGGATTTCTGAGAGTGTAGGTTGCGATGCCTATATATGTTTTGTTTTATGAAACTAGTATGTTAGATTGTGTAGTTTTGAGATAGTTATTTTACTATAGTATTTTTTGTAGAATTGGTCTTCTTGAAGTTGAATTGAAAGTTACGTGGCACTCTTGTAGATTCCTTTTGTAGTTATCTTTTCTATTAAAAATATTCATCACACAAAAATAATAAAAATCGAGGACCAGCAGTGAAAAGGAAAAGGAGAAAACGACCAATTTGAGCCTAGACTTCGTTGCTACGTATAGTGTTGTTGAATTGTCATATAGAATACTGAAGTAAACTGTCATATATAATTATCAAGGCAAAGTGGACGCTATAGTTTACTAGTATGAATTATGAACCAACATCGTACCTCAAGGACCAACATCCTGTCTATGAAGTCATGAGACGTGCTAGCTTCCATGTAATTTCCTTGGTCTTGGTCTAAAGCTTTCCATGTGTCTCTGTCAGATTGGTAAGGGCAGGAAATTTCAAGAATTCATCGATCATGTCCACACAAATGTAGAGGACCAATGGTGGCCTGGACTACGTTATCAGTGGCCAAGCAACGTCTTTGCTCTCTCCATTCTGCTGAGTGGTTATCAATGGCGCAAGTAACTGGATCTGCCGTGGCAATGGCAAGCGAGGCAGTTAGCAGAGTATCATCATATCCTTTCTGTCCGGCGACAAGACTGGCCATGACCATGAGAGCGACGAGGATAAAGCCGAGAGTCTGGAGATGGCGGTACTGAAAGAAGATCCGCAGCGTTGTAGCCGTCTCGGAAGATCTCCACATCTCTCAGTCCCACGTCCCATTATATTGCTGCAGTGGAAGGCGAAGCTAAAGATATCGCTGAGGAAGGTGAATGTGATGACCTACTTTCATCTACATATGCACGAGAAGCAAATAAACCTTGGAATGCGATTTGGTACAACAAACATATTGGTGCGGACAGCTTCTTCAGCTAGGTTGGTAGAGTCTGGTGGTCAGCCTAACAAGTCCATGTCTTTAATTTGCCGTTGATCGCTAACCCAATCTTTGGCTCTTTGCTTGCCGATGATGGTTTAGTGGAGTTCTCCATCCAAAAAGAAAGTGGCAATGACGACCATTTCTGGGTCCGGATACTGAGAGTGGGTTGGAGGCACATGCCTCGCTGTGTCACGTGAGGATGGAGTTATGTGGCAAAAAAAAGCTTCAAGATGTGCATTGTGTGTGTTCCATCTTTCGGAGGCATCAAACGTATTGGCTACTGCTACGAGCTGCTTGGAGCTCTTGCCACTTCAGTTTGATGGCGCACGCATTGCCACCAGGAGACTGTTAACTGAAACAATAGAGCAAAGCAGTGTGGATTATTCCAATTTTCCAGAAACGTCGAAATGGTTGCGCCGACTCGTTCAGAAAAAAGAACACTGTGACAATTACTTTAACTGGCTTGCAAGAAGCAAGCACTCAGCAGCACGCAGCACGCAGCTCGCTGGTCGCTGCTCGCCACAGTGCGCACGGTACAGTCGCCACAGTCGATCGATCGTGCCACGACTTGCCCGGGCATCGTACTGCGCGGCCAACGCACCCTTGAGAAATGCAGCGTCGTGCGTCGTGCGTCGTGCCACGGCGTGCGCGGCATCTCGTTGAAAATGCGGCGAGACGCGGATGAAGTGGTGGGAAGATGCGGCGTGGTTGGGGCCTGGCGTAGCGGCGGCGGCCCAACGACAATTCGACCCGACACGGTGAAGCTGCTGCTCCCTGCGGCCACGCGGTCACGCGGCTGTTGTTGTGGCGACCATCCTAGCCCTGCACTGCGACACGGCTTGACGCTTCTGTTCGTAGGCCACGACGTCAGCCCAAATAACTCTCACGCAACGGGCAAGGCACCACCGACCAAGCACACTGAGAAGAGCATGACCGTCCCTATCCCATCGCACCCACCCTCTCGTCTCAGGCATGACGGCGACCTCCAGGCTCCACGGTGGCCCCGCATCCGCCCCAATCTGCACGGCGCCAACCCCGATCTGCGGTGCGCGAGGCATGCGCTCCGCGGCCGCCGACGAGTGCGTCCTCGCAGAGTTCCTCGAGGCCTCCATCTGTGTGCCCAACCTCTCCCTGCCCCGGCGGAAGCGCTTCAACATCTCATCGGCGCCGGCACCGGAATCAGACGGAATCTCTTCGCGTGCCCTCGTTTCGGACAACGTGGACGCAGTGCTGCAGTTACCACCAGGTAGGTCATGGCCTTAGCAGCCTGGGAACGGGAACATGGCACACGTTCTCATTCCCATGTTCCACGTTCCGGAACGGGAATGTTCCCGTTCCCATGTTATAAAATGATACCCCAAGTTTGGAACAGGAACGGGAACAGAAACATGGCTGCTAAGGTCATGGCCGCGCGACGATGCTATGTTTCAAGTGTTTCTGGATATTTTTCAGACATGTTGTAAGCCTATGTTTCAAGTGTTTCAGTTGTTTCAGATGTATGTTTTGATTGTTTCACGTGGATGTTATAAAAGTAAATCGAGATGTTGCATATGCTGCAATAGTTGTATACGTATGTTGCAAGTGTCTATCCCAATGTTTCATCTATTTTTTATACACGTATGTTGCAAAGTGTTCTAGACGCATGTCTGAAGTGTTTCATCTATTTTCTTTTGTATGTTGCAAGTGTTGTATCTGAATGTTTCAAAAGTAGATCGGGATATTGCACATGTTGCAATGGTGTTTCAACTATATGTCCCAAATGTTTCATCTATTTGACATTTGTTGCAAAGGTTTCAACTAGATATTGCAAAAGTAGACATGGTGTTTGAATGTTGTAGTTGGACCCACTTGCCATAGCCACCTGCTTGCAGCTGTTGGACCCATGTGCATGCGTGTGGGAGCGACAGACGCGGGAATCAAGAGCAGGCGCAGATCGAGATGCGGCCCCGCGTGGGGGTGCGCATGCGTGGAAAATGGAGTGGCATGAGTCCCCATGTGAAAACGGGCGCGCGTGCGGGCATAGCTGGCACTAGCGCACGAATGTCCGATACGGGCACTAGCAGTTCCGTTTTCTTAGAGATCGAGGGGTACTTCTTCTCAATTGAGAAAAAAAATTAGAGAAAAAGGTCGATTGAATCCAATTTTTTTCTATTAAATTCTCTTTATGACTAAATATAGAAAGGGATTTTTTTCGAGACTCACAGACGCGGACTCTCACAAAAACGAGCGCACACTCACCCTTATGAATGCACGCACGCGCACCCTACCCCTATGAGCACCTCCGAAGAACTGAGTTAGACCGGCAAATATCGAGATTGATGAAATCACCACAGA